TCTGATCCGTCTTGCTGGCACCAATAGACATGTCATTAACGTTCAAACATACACATAAAAGCTTACATATATTGTAAGTGATTTCGAAAATAGTTACGTGCATAAGTCTTCTGTGTTTTGCAATAGGCCTGTGTCACAAAAACGATATATATAATATGTAAATGAAATGTAGTAAATGGACACAAAGTTGGTCTGATTATGAATTCTAAATTGATATAACATAATGCATCGTCGTTAAAACCGTGCCTCCTCTTATGGATGTAACTTCGTACAATACAATGAATCATATATATTTATACTTGTGACTTGTATATTCCTATTATGCCGAACTTTATTGTATGTTACACCACGACAAGATACGTACGCACTATTTACACAAACATTACTGTCACAAACTAAACCATGAATATAAACTACAACTCGTGTGTATTCGATGATTAAAATCGACTGTTTTTCAATAGGAATATTTTCGCTCATACTTTCTGACGAAGACAATCATATCTTAGCACATCCGCTTCAGAATTTTCTTAAAAAAACAAGCATCTGATCCATAAGTTTTTAATGTTAGAAATATTATGCCATTTTGTCACAAAAATGTGGTTGTATTACATTTTTCCGTACACAAAAATCACTTTTTCAAAACACACTCACCGAAATTGCCATTTATTTCAGCAAACACTGATTTAACGTGTTATTCGATATATTCTCGAATTGCAAAAATAGAACATTCATATCTCAGCAATAATCACATTTTTATCTTCGTACGTTATATGTTTTGGTCTAACAGAATACGAATCTTTTTTCAAACTTGACTTTGTCTTAGGTTCCGTTGGCATAAAACCATTATCTATTGGAATAACAGGGGATGGCGTGGCGATAGCCACTGGGGGTGGTGGGGGCGGACATGGTGTGTCCATTGTCAAAGATGGCACTGGTTCTAGATCCGGTGGAGGTGAAGGTAAAGGGAGAGAATCTGGATCAATTTCCGGATCTGATTCCTCTACAGGTTTAACGTCTATAAAGCTGGTATGCATCACTAACTGTCCACCTCGTGGTGCCATGGAGTCACGTGATATTTGCCTATGGCTAGTAGTCAATGGTTGTTCCTGAGATGTGGATTTTTTCACTCGTTTACGACGATAACAATAAATAACTAATACTACCAATAATATAATAGCTAGACTTGGAATGGCAATTGACGCTGTCATTATTATTATCTCCCTTGGACCTGAAAACAAAAAACATGACAATAAAATGTTCTGGTATCTCAGACAATGCTGAGGATATATTTATATATGTACATTTGTTTATTGTTTGCAAATTAAATTCGAGTAGTATAATACATGATTTTAGTATTTTTAAATCTTGGCATCAGTTGTAAGATGACACAGTGTAAAAAAAGTTATACTGAAGTTTTCTTGGTAGTCTTCGACTGTTACAGAGACTCACGAACAATAAAATATCAGCTGTATTCCCTGAAACATCTCTAGTTCGAGTGGCACAACCATTATTAACGTCAGCAAGTGTCGGGGCATGACCATCCTACCTAAACACCCGATGTAACTTTGCGATTGTACTAGCCAATTCAGAATCTAAAGTATATGCAAAGCTAATAAGAATTGGCAGTCATAATCTGCAAGTGACCGAATTTCGAAAATCCTTTCAACTGAATTTTTTTCTATTCTCCTTACTTACATTTTCTTTCATCGCTGTCATCGAAAGGTCCACAATTAGGTACACCATCACATTTCAAGGATCTGTGTATACAATACTTAGGTGATGGTTCACAATTCATATCATCTATACACCTTTTACCCCCGCCACATTGGAACTGACCACAGGGACCTAAAACATTGGCATAAGTCTACACAATCCATCACAAATATTTTGTGAATCATAAACAAGAAAATACAACAATCATTTAGTCAAGAAAAGATATCCATACACATCTAAGTCAAAACATGAAGATCAGCAGTCTAGTCTACTTTACAATACAGTAAAAAGAAATTACTAGTTACATTGCCTAAAAATATAGCGGATTGCTCGGGAGTCTGACCTGGATGTGCAAAATTGTCTATGCCCGACAATAAATTCGGTCACATTTCCATTGACTTAGTTGTGCAGGCACATCATCAATAAGGTCGAGGGTTAGAGATGTTAGGTAGAATTAAAAAGAAGTTAAAATTACGATTAATATAATCAAAAATCGGATATATAATCAACCACTTCAAGTCGAATCTATCTGAATGTCAGAATAACATTTTGACATAATTAGCGGCCATAAACTTACCATCTTCCGGCATCTGTACTGCCGTCCAACTTACTTTAAAACCATTACCATGATTTACATTAGTTTGACTTGTTACAAATCTAAACAGAAAAATGTACTTCAAGAGACTCCAAGATCAAATATACATATCAACACCATACAATAATAAAAGCATCCAATTCAAGATAAGATGAATTTTGAAATTTTGGAAGATATGATGATAAAGGTGGTACAAGCGGTTAACATCTTACCTCACCCTCACTGTCATTGTGCTTATTTGATTCTATATATAAGTAAGGAATTGCAGACTTGGGATATAAATGATAAATGATGACAGCTAAGAATTCAGAAATGTCATTTGAGAGAAAACTTAACACTATCAAATAAAAATATTGATGTCAATTTATTTGAAATAAATTTTGCAAACATTTTAACAGCTAAAAATGTGCAAAGTGATATATTTTAGGCAATTCTTGTTCTGAAAAAATACAAACCTAATCACAACTCGGGAAGAATGGGAGAGAAATTGTCTTCGACTGGAAGAATAATCATTCAGTTGTCCACACATAGAAATCTCTGGTAACATGTCGGGAGTAGCAAAACCATTGTATATCAATAACTTAAAATCTTTACACGTTTCGGCTGAAAATTGATTTATAAATGCACGATGAGTTAAAAATGTAAAATGAAATGTAATTGGGTTTGTTGACATAGATTTTCTTACTAGAACAACAATTTTCATTGAAGATAGTAAGGACGTCCCTGAAATTAATCAGAGCCAAAAAGAGTTTAGAGTTAAATGAGCGTTCAACGAGGAAATGTCTTCAGCCTCTTTTTTTAAATCTATTATTCCTACTAGTGAGATTTGAGATGTGAACACACGCACCCGAATAAAAATTTAACACTAAGAAATGCAAATTTGAGTGCAATCTTAATAGGCTATAGGGTAGCCAAACCTCACATGTTGTTCCCTGTATGTTCACTTAACTTTACTTCGATGGGGATGCGGCATGTATTTGAATTTCGAATGCAATAACAGCCTAGATGTTTAATCAGTAGAACTTGAGAACAAAATCTCAGAACTAGATCAACTGCTTTCTTCGAGTTACCTGACAATTACAGTGAAATAGCTCAGTCGGAATCGAATAGATTGCCGAATGCGAATGAAGACCCTCACTATTTCTGGTTTCAAGGCTTCAAACTCTGTCTTATTCTGATGATACCAAGAGAAGTGAAAAAGAAACACCAAGTGCTACTTACAAGTTTGACCTAAATCAAGCGAGATAATATTTACAATAATTTGCTGTTCCTCGCGAACTTTAATTAACCATGTACATTCAGTACCACCACGGAATGGTTCGGGAAAATCAGGGGAAGTAATCACTCCTCCCCAGCCGCTGAGTATTTCCGGCCCACAGCCAGGTGTTGATGGACGAAATGGACGCCAACCTGCAAGACGCAAAGAAAAAAATCATCAAGGACAGAAAATTAAAATTAAATTTCAGTAGAATACATGGTATTGATTAAAAGTGTTTATATGCCGATAAGTCTACATTTCATCTTGCTGAAAATCAACCTTATATGCACTTTTTATTCTAATTCTAACGCTTACCAATACTAGCTTTATTTATAGCAGAAATTACACGTATAATACATACCCAGCATGGTAGAAACCATTAAATTCCCAGATTTCCTTTGAACAGCCAACAAGGAAATTTTGAAAAACCGAAAAACCTTAAAGTTACATTCGGGTTACAAGATTATTTCTTGGCAGAATGCGTCTTTGTTGTAGCATCCTTACACCTGTTCATGATTGACCAAGAATATACATTCTCATTTCACAAAACATTATGCTTCGGTAAGAAATAGCATATTTATATATATATACATGTACTTACTGTCATCTAAGAAGGTGAAGTGCGCCGAGAAACCGGAAGCAATTTTTGTATGATCAGAGACAAAGACTATCTCGAGGTTTGGTTGGACAGAAATTATTTTCGGAGGTATTTTCTTCCCACAGTAACGATTTAAACGTGTTCTGTAGCCCATTTTATCGACGCTAAATACATCTATATAATCAAATCTGCAACTGAAAAGGAACGTATAAAACATTAGTAGAATGGATTTTATGCCAAGACCGTCCCGCAATGCCAATTTCTATGCAGAGCGCAATGAGAAAATCATAGGAAACTTCTTTTCAGTATTGACCTGTCAATGGATCTGTGCGGTTTGTAGCACATGGGACCTAGAGTTATTGTCCAGCAGTTGCTACAGCTGTAAGTAGATAAAACTAAAAAGCTATAAAGATAGCGCCCGTCATTTAAGAAGTGTACCTGCCGGGGTCATTAATTGTTGATTGATTTTTATAGTCTGGATTTTAAAATGTCATATTTCACAACAACAGACTGGAAATGATCAAGTCACGCAATTTGCTGATATTCGTCTTTCAGATACACTTTTAGAATGAGAAATAACATATTTTTTACATTGTTAACTGTAATTCGTAATTAAATTTCATCAGAAATTTCAATATTTCAATCATCGCCGGGGATTTCAAACACCATCCCTATACACCAATTATTTTCATAAAGTATCGTCGCAATCAGACAGTTTGAAATAGGTTTAAGTTTACTTTCCCTGGAGTATGTATGATGTAGCGTTGATTACGGAAAGAGAAAGACGAAACGTGAAAATTTACTGTTGACTACTAAATGTATACTAAATATTTTGTAATGTACAACATTTTCCAAGTTTGTCATTTACGTTTGTAAATCTCAGCTCTAAAAAAAGACAACGTTATAGGCAACGAACCTACTTCGTTTTTCACGTGTCATGGTATGTCCGCAGCCTATAGCAAACGGAGCCTTCTTTAGTTTCCATCAAGTTGATTCGTAGACAAAGACATTGTGAAGTTTCATACTTACGTGCTGTCTCCAGGGCCCAATCCTTCCAATTCAAAATAATCAAATTCAACTTCAATCCTTCCGTCACCAATAGATTCAAAGAAATAATGACACGTCGTCAGCTCAGCGTAAGGTGCTGGAAAGTTTGGGGATGATATCTTGCCCGATTTCATATCTTTAGAACTGAATTTCTGGTCACAACCATTCCCTGCAATATAGATTCCCAGGTATCATGTGTCAGGGTGTGGCCAATAGGAGATGAATCTATTTTGAGTTGGGAGAGCACCTCACATCATCACATGCTGGATGATACAGATTGTGGAGATGAGAAAGGTTCAAATGATTGCTGCTGGGGTGTGAAGGCTGGAAAAAGTTATCCAGTCTGTCTCTTGTCACAGGTCAGGTCAGTGTCTTAGAAGTGTTCCTAACATATATAAATCATTGATCGTCAAAAGTAAAAAAAATAACTTACCTCTAACCAGCTTGAGGAGATCTCCCATGATGTACAATATAGTCAATAACGGGAGAGGGGGTTTCATTTTTCCATAAATAGACGGGGTATATTCCCCATGACTTCTTCACCTGAAAAATACCAAACATTAATACTTTAGTACCTCATAAAATCAACAATGATGTATAATTTACGGCTGTTTGCAGCATCTGGTTGTCGTTCAAAAAACCCCAATAACAACCACAAGATTGTATCGTTGTACCTTCACCGCCAGTGTTAAACTCTAGACATGCATGAAGTGCTTCAAGATGGACCCAGATACAATAGCGATTCATTAGATCTTCACAGTGGACAAGGCCCGGATTTTAGAGGGCACTTGTCACTTTCATCTGATATAACTTATTTATCATTATTTCCCATGTTTCTTTTAATATGTCCAAATTAAAGTGTAAGACCTTCTGTGAACAGATTCAGATGGATCTCTAGATGCGCCGATTTACCATTTATTTTATCGTTGACTCTCGTCTACATTTCAGTCACGAAAGTTTAGCAATGCAAATCCGGTATTTAATCACGACAAATCTAGTTGGTCACGTGAACCTACTTTCTCAATAAGTTTTAGTTATTTCCCTTGGGATGAAAATTGTTGTTTTACTTCAGTCGTCTCGCAGTGCTATTAGTAATACAAATATATTTTTACTGTGTGTTTTATATTTGATCAACACTGGGATAACGTGGTTCTGAGATCACAAACCAGATTGTAATCTATTATATATATTATTTGTTCACATTTTACAATATACATATTCTCAATGGCGGCGCCAGATGGTACAGAGGTGGGATTTACCATCCTTGAAATATGGTTTGTACCAAAATTGCACCCCCACTTCATTTGTAACTAATTTGGTTTTCTAAAGGCTACAACTGTGTCAAGGACAGTTTGGTTTTATATTGTCTTTACACGATCAATGCATATACTTTAGTGGACCTAAAAAACGTCATTAGTTTCATAATTTTATATTCTCCGAGAAACAATTACTAATCCGGGAATCCAGCATCCAAATATGGTGTTTGTGGAAATGATTTTTTCAACCCGATTTAACTACATGTACATGAAATAAGCTTCTTGTTTGGTCTTGATAAATGATAATCTTTCAAACAGTTATCACATAAAACATAAAAACTGAACCATTTGTCAGCTACTCGTCAAATGAACCTTGCAATAACTCAATATAAGAACATTTTAAACACTCCTTACGTCAATTTTATTAGATTCTTTATGGCAGAAACCAGACAATCTTTGTATACCATAATCAGGTTGTGATAGAACTTAATCTTTATTTCAAATATGTCAAGATGCCACAGGCACTTAACCCTTGCAATGATTTTAAACCTTTTACTTTGTATTACCTCTTTCTACGTGTATTTTGTGATTTTCTCTAAATAGACTAAATAGAACGTCTTAAAAACTCCCCATAACCCCTCCAAAATTTCAAAATTAACCCCTTTGGATGTAAATACCCCCAGGTTGAAAACCCCTGCCTTACAGAATTGAGAGGATACAATCATAAGGTGAAGTTCAAGCTCGTTATTGGGACACATCTAACGGACAACAATTTTTTTTCGAACAAACTTAAGGCTTAGCGAGAGGATTAAGCACATACCTGGCTTTCGGTAACCCACTTGTTGGAATGTAATATAATTTGTGTTCTACAACAGGAGATTTTCCGACCTACACCATCCTCAGCTAATCGCCGAAAAATCTTTTCATTATTTTTGAATCATGGCTATTGATTAAAATCTTTAAACGAATCGTGAGAACTAAGCCTTTCTATTGATTAAAAGAAGGCAATTTCCTTTATTTTAAAATAAATTCTTTCATCCTACAAAAAAGTAGTAATTCTCAAACAAATTTCATATAATTAATTAAGAGCTGAGAAACTCATTTCCGGTTCCTGTCACAGTTTGACCTACGAAAAAATATTTTTCTTACATTATATTCTTTTTTGGTCTGTTGGCATTGAAAAATAAAAAGGTACCATGTCGATCTGGAATCGAAACCATGATCTCCAGGTTGAGCTTTCTATAGTGAAAGACTCAACATGTGTCCAATTTCTTATCTGGTCTGAACATGGACGTGCAAAATGATTAATGACCTATTTGTGCTACCATTTATTACTCGTATAATTACTAGAGTGAATATTCACTGACGTTGATTACTGCGGCATTTAGACTTATGAATAAACATGGGAATGAATTTGAATATTATTTACATATTTAAACAGATTCCAGTATAAGATTTTGATCACTCATTTACAATTAATGAGAAGAAATCAGATCCTCTTTGAAGCACGAAATAAATAAGGGTAATGCATATCAAAAGCAACAAATAAATTGTTCTAAGGACGTAACGTGGTTGCTGCTCATTAAGGTTGATTTTTTTCGTAAAGCATAATAGTCAAGCAGTAGGGTTTTTTCTTGGTTTCCTTTTTGAATTTTCTCATAGCATAAGTCTCTGTAGAATTTGAATTGGTGAAGTTGTTTGCACCAAACAGAATGCTTTGGAAATCATGAAATAGTGAAATTTACATCATAATACATACATGTGACACTTATGCACTACAGCCCAAAATATTTTAATCATCACAAAGAAATCTTTCCAGAAAACATTAAAAATCTCTCTCATACATAAAATAATCTATTCCACATGAAAGGAAAATGTTGTCCAAAAATAGAAAATGAATGTATTGGTTGCAGACATATTGCAATAAATTGTCGATTTAAAATAAGTATTACTCCAAAGGGAAATCTATCTGAAATAGTCTTTACTTGTGTTCTTTAGTGAATGAATAGATGAGTAAAACATAACCAATAGTTTCGTGGCTTGCAAACCAAAATAGTTTGTTGTTGCTTTCTGCAAATAAGATTCCTTTTCATTGTTTTAACACGAAAATATTTTGTCTAAAATTGTACCCAGGGCCTGTAGACGACTACAATTTACTGGCCATGGTTCCCTATTTTCGTGAGTTGTTATGGGTCTTAAATACAATATGTAAATACTCTTCAGAAGTACTAGAACTTTATTTTAAAACTGATAATTCTGGACACACATAGATTTGAAGTTCCCTCAAATTTCGACGGTGAGCTGTGAACACTATTACTGAATAGCCCAGCAAAAACAAAATCCTGCTTCTGAGACTAAAGTACGATTTGTACGGAAAGTGAACTGTGCATTTAATGAAATGGGCATTAACTTGATATTGAACGTGTTAGTTTTCTTTACAGACCAAGGAATAAATCCTATTGACCTTTTCGAGAACAAGACGAGCTGTCAACCCCGAAGCCAAATGTTCTGGAAATGAAATAGTATAAGCGTATACCCGATTGTTTTCAAATCCTATATTGCTATATGCATTTATATAGGATTGTAAAAGGTTTTCTAAATTATTTATGTGTATCGGGGACACTTATAGTATCAATTTGCACCATTCCAATTTGCAACCAGATGTCTGTAGTTCCTGCAATGCCACTAAAATTAAGTGTTTGATGACGAAACTAATCTGAAAAGGCCTTTCGCGATTAGTCACGCCATCAAACACTTAGTTCAAGTGGATTTGAAGGAATCACAGACGTCTGTTAATTAACTTAGAATGATACAAATTGGTGCTATAAGTGTCCCATATACTCATAAATTTAGAAAACCTCTTTACAAACCCTTTAACATTATTGTGTGACAATTTGTTAACATTATTTCGAAAATATGTTGATGAATGTTAAGCGAGAGACACATGAAAGACATGAGACAGTTGACAAGAATTCCACAGGTTCAGACAGCAATAGATTAGCCACAATTACTATTGAAAGATATAAGTAGACAAATCTACAAATTTTATGGAACCCGCATCGGAGCTGTGGTCATTTGTAAAAGAAGTATGTCAATATATTGTGATCTGCATTTAATACCTTGACTGCAATGGTCAACTTTCTTGTATCATGGAATTTGGCGATTTGATTAATTTGTACGTTAGCGAATACAGCAAATCAGAGTTCGGACAGAAAATCTGAAAACTATAAGCCATTATAAGCCATCATTTTGCAGTCTTTCTGTCGAGGACTCGATTTGTATGTATTCGAATGCAATAAAGTCCAATCAAATCACCACATTCTGTAACACAAGAAAGGTGGCTATTGCAGTGAATGTATAAGACGAAGTACGTAATAGCTAGACATTGTGAAGACTGAGTTAGTAAAAGCTTCAAGATGTGAAGATGCCTCTACGGTTGCATTCTGTTGGAATAAAGGTCGTTTAATATCTCGTGAAGGATTCGGGTTCAAATTTTCTTTCTAAAAGAATGCTAATTTAATCCAAAGACTGGAAATATTAAACTAAATATGTTTCGTTTTTCACTGTTGGTTGAAGATGTATCAAATCGTCAATGACAAATTTACAGAAAACACCAGAAATAAAAATTAGTCTTTTCCTTGGAAAGAATTACATTACCAAGAATAATAATGTCTAGCTATTCTATCTGACACCTCTTGATTCCAGTTTATTGTTTTACAAACTGACAATATTCCACTGGGACATATCAACTTTTATCCACTAACCCTTTGTATTGCCTGAAAATCCAATATGACGCTGTGAAAAAAATAGAATACTGATTTGAAACATGTAGAAATCAGTTATAAGCAAGGGCCGCGATCACAGATAGGTGGTGGGGGGTGTGGGATACTGATTTGTGTAGGTATTTTTTTTACTTAGTTTAGATTAGTGAGGACACTATTTATTTTACTTGGTAAACCGCCAAAATCAGAAATGATGGGGTGGGAATGGCACCTATGGCGAAGGGAGCGGTGGGGAAGGGGGCGGTGGTGTAGGGGAGGAGGCGGTTGCGGCTGGGGAAGACTTCCCGTGCTGATTATTTGGATTTTGTGATGACCGACTTGACTGGAACTGGCAGCACTGGACTTTATAGAAGAGCTGGCGTTAATTGTCGCTCTGCATTTGACTTGAAATGTAAGAGTGTGGAGTGAGACCAAAAAAATCAA